ATATATATATATAGGGGGTGGGGGGGTGTATATACACACAAAGCAGTAGACTTAATTTTTTAATCAAAATTTGATTTGTAGATACCTCATGTAAAATTTTGCGTAGGATTCAGTCAGAATCAAAGATCATAACATAATAGCGTTTATAAGTGAGTCAACACTACATAGCTAACTAGACAATAAAATTAAAGTTTTAATACACTTAGTCTCTGGAGTTTTGAATTCTGTAAATACCATTTCCCCCTTAATATAAAGACAATAACCATTGTAAACCTGTATAAATTAGAATGACAGACTGACACGAATAAGATACAATTTGTTACTAGGTCAATTAATGTAGCATTGAGAAAGCTACTTTTCCTGATACCATATTATCACAATACAAACACAACATTTTAATGCTTTTTAAAATATTAATACTGTGAGGGCCAGGGATTTAGCTCAGCTGCACCTCACCTGCCTCACAAGTGCAAGGTCCTGAGTTCAATCCCCGGTACCACAAAAAAAATAATAATAATTTTTTTTTTTTTTATATTTGATGCTTTCGTAGATTTGCATAAAAATTCAGCAAAAGCACTTTTCAAATGCTCTTGCCCAGTTTTCAATATTAACATCTTGCATTGAAGTTGTGTATTTGTTACACTGAATAGTGATATATTATTCCAATTTTGATAAATTATTAACCAAATTCCATAGTTGACTAATATTAGAGTTTGCACTGTGTTGTACAGTTCTGTAAATTTTTACAAAGGCATAATGTCATATACCATTACATTATCGCACAGAAGGGTTTCACTGCCTTCAAAGTCCCCTGTACTCTACCCCTACTTGTTCTCACAGCCCTCTCCCAACACACTGGCAGACATTAATTTTTTTTGGATTTTTTTTTTTTTTTTGTCATTGATCTTTCTGTTGTCTCTTTACTTTTATCTTTTCCAGAATGTTAGGTGTACTTACACAGTAAGCCTTTCAGACTGGCTTCTTTCACTTGCAGTGCACATGTAAGCTTCCAGGTCTTTCGGTAATGAGTTCACTTTGAAAATGAGATTCACCTTTGCCTGGCCTGTTACTCTTAGAGCAAGGACGAACACTGACAAAGTAGGAGCAGGCCAGTATAATAACAGCTATTTTTTTAATCTTTTGAATTTTTAAATTTTTGTTGGGCTATTTATTTTGATAAACAATTTTTTAAGCCCAGTTTATCAATCTTTGTGGTAGTGATTTTTATCTTTTAGCTAAGAGATTTCTGCCATCCCAGCATCATGATGCTATTCGCCATCTCTGTCCTATATTTTCCTCTAGAAATTCAGTTGTTATACTTTACCATTTGGCTCTTTAACCCATTTCAAAGTAATGGTGTAAGATGTCAAGTAGAAGTCTCATAGCTACCTTGTTGAAGCATTTTAAAAGGAAGCAGAAAGTTTCAGGCTCCAGCCTCATGGATTGTATCATAGTATAAACATTGTACACTGTTGACCTAGAGGCCTAGAAGTAAATGGATCTACAGTTGTTAAATGTAATTTTATCAGGGCTGTCTGAAAGGAGAGCTGAATTTAAGCACTGATAATACACAGATAACTTGAGTGTTGTCCCCAAAATCCTCACCCAGAATTTGCCATATTGCTCAACTTAATTGTTAGAAATCCCTTTTATTACAGTGGTTTCCAAACTCTGCTGCACATTTTGTAATCAGTGCAGAAGCTTTTAAAGATCTTAATCCTGAGGCTGCATCCCATAAATCCGAGTGGTCTGGTGTAGAATCAGCCTTGTTGGATGCAAAGTACTGTGTTTGGCATTTTCGCATGTCACCATTAGATACGTTTTATTGTAACTTTTTTTTTTAACAGGAGAAACAAAGTAAATGGTTTTAAATCACACAGCTTGGACTGTTGGCTCTTAAAATTAATGTTCTTTCTACAATTTCACACTGTCTTGTTAGCGTTTCTTAAAAGCAAAGAGGTAAGAGAATTATGTATTTTTTTCACTCCTTGACTCCATAATTAATTAGTATTTATAATTCTAGATACTGATGACACAGTGTAAACAAAGTCCAGTACAAAGCTCATTCTCTTTGGAGGAGAGAGAAGGGAAAACTAAGCTATGTCTGGTTACCGTGGAAACAGCAGGATGACCTAAAAAGTAATTTAGGAAGATAATGACCTTTGAACTGTGATCTCAGTTAGGAGGGAATCTGCCAAGAAAAGCTCTAGAGGAAGTGTTCCAGCCTGGAATAACATTGAATACAAAGAGCCTGAGGCAGTGAGGGTCACAGGACCCTACCCCAAAGTGGCTACAATAACAAAGGAGTGGGGAACTATGACTACAGGGAGCTCAGAATCCTGGATTGAGACTGCACAGATGAGTGTCCAAGGGTAGCCCAGCATCAGATCCTCAGGAAGAAGGTAGGAACAGGCTGGACTGGGAGTCCAATCCAGACACATACATGGAAAAACGGTAGCAGCCGGAATAGAAGATTGGCTGCATCCTTGCGGGTTGAATAGGTAAACATATGGAGGATAACAGGATCCAGGTTTCTCAATGTTGGAAGATGGAGTTACAAATGTGGAAAGAGAAAACTAAAAAAGACTGTGTAGTATTGGTTCAAAATAAGTGACATGAGTATGAACTCAAGGTTTCCAATATTTATAGATAGATGCAGAAGTATGTTCCTTAACTTTGTCCATTGAAAGAAACTATAAATAGACATCTCATTAGCTATTAGTACCCAGATATTAGTTTCTAAATATTATTCTGCATTAAAAGGATTTAGAGTTCCTTAGTGAAATGACTGATTCCAGGACAAACTATAGAATGAGCTTAGAAGCCAGGCATGGTGGCACACACATGTGATCCCAGAGCTTGGGAGGCTGAGGCAGAAAGATACGCTGTGAGTTCAAGACCAATCTGGGCTACATAGTGAGTTCAAGGCTGGCCTGAATTACATAGTGAAATCCTTTTCAAAATACATAGATGATTGATAGATAGATACATCAATAGATAAGATAAATAGATGATAGATAGATAGATGAGCCTGGAATATCTTGTTCCAAAAGTAGATAAGTAGTAAATTTACCAGAAAATGGTAAAGGCCACTTTGAAGAGCTGCTGAGGGCCAAATCTCAAGACAGTTTCAAATCAAACAACAACATTGTTTGTAACTCATTGAATAAAATGAGAAACTATGAGTCAGTACTAATAATAAGCAAGTATCAATTTAATGGAGAATAGTTCATTGACATACTCCAAGAGTACTCCTCTGCACCCCCCAAAAAATTACTGTATCAAAGCTTGCTGCAGTGCTGCATGCCTATAATCCCAGCTGGTCGGGAGGCCGAAGCAGGAGGATCACAAGTTCAAGCCCAGCCTGAGCAAGTTAGGCAGATCCTGTCTCTAAATAAAAATAATAGAGTGCTGGGGATGTAGCCAGTGTACAGACTCAGGACTCAATTCCCATTTCCTAAAAGGAGAAGAAAAGAAAGAACAGTTATTATTTACACAGGAGAAAAAGTGACTTTACAGTGGAGCAACCTGGCAGACTCTGCCATAAACAACAACAACAAAATCAAAGTTAAAATCTTCAGGGCCAGAACAGATAGAAAGCCATGTGCCTGCTGAGAGAAAACCATAGCAGCACTTCCATGATGTTTCCACCAAAGATTCATAACCTGAATCTAATCAACAGGAAACATCAAACTCAAATCCAAGTCTTTCCTGTAAAATAATTCATCTTTAAATCTCAAACCTCAAGATCATCAAAGATAAAGGAAACTTAAATGAGTAATAAATGTAATGCATGAATCTGAGGCAATTTAGTGATTGGATGGCTTTGTTACAGAAAATGTAAACAAATAGAACATTTTTTACTAAACTACAATTTTGGGGAGGGTGATAAAGGATCACTTCAGCAACTTACTCTCAGCAAAATTCTTTGTTCTTGTAATTTGTACCTGCAACTTTCATTAATGTTTTAAGATTTTGAAATTGGAAGATTACTAATTGTTAAGAATTTAATAATAGGGGCCAGGGGTTTACCTCAGTGATGCCTCGCCTGCCTCCCTAGTGCAAGGTCCCAAATTCAATCCCTGGTACCAAAAACAAAAACAAACAAAAAAAAGAATTTAATAATAAAGCAAGATTACCAGGCTGAGGATTTAGCTCAGTGGTCCCGAGTTCCATCCCCAGTACAAAAAAAAAAAAAAAATTACCTCAATTGTCCAAGCAAAAGTCGGTGGTAATGGTAATGGAGGTAGACTTGGTTGAAGTGTCTGAATTTGGAATGTATTGTAGCCTTGGAATGACAAGATTTTCTGGCTTTTGTCATGAGTACTTGGATTAACAGTGGTACAATCTAAGGACAGGAGAAGACTCTGGAAGATGTGGATTACTGAGTTACAGGGAATGAAGGGTTCCGTTTGGGGTGTATTTTTCCTTTATTACTGCTTCCATGGAATTCAGAATTCACTGGCTCAAAATGACAACCATTTGTTTAGGGTTCTCAGCTCAATCTGGGCTTGCCTTCATTGGCCTGATGGTCCGACCAGGGTCATTCTTGGGCTAAACTTGAGCTGGACGATTTCAGGTGACTTTGGGCACACGTCTGGTACCTCAGAGGGGGTGGCTGCACAACCTATGAGTGGCTGGGGTTCTCGTTGTATCCAGCAGTGTAGCTGGACCTCTTTACCTGGTGGCTCAGGATTCTCAAGAGAGCAAAAGTGAAAGCACTCTTCATCGTCCTGGGGCCCAGATTTACATAGATTCCACCCTCAACTGAAGGAGCAACAACATACACCAGGATGAGGATTCCTGGTGATTGATTTTGAAGACAGTGTAACACAAATGTATTAAGTTTGAAGGCCTTGTAAGACATTGAAACAGGAAATTGGTTACAGGAGTCTGGCATTCGGGTGAAACATCTGGACTGATTTTATAAATGTGAGAGCTGTTAATACAAAATGATATTTAAAAACCATGGCACTTGGTAAGTTCACTTTGAAATGCAGAGTAGACAAAAAAAGAGAGGTAGGACCAGATCTGAGCCTGAGGTGCTCCTATATCTACAGGTGAGACGAAGAAGGCAACAGAGAAAACTTTGGTAACAAGGACTCACATCGCTCACACTAGGGGCCCCAATGACGCTGTACAATGGTCAAATCTTAAACGCCACAGGGTAAATATGCTTATCTTCTTGGAGTGTAATTTTACTCAGTAATAATCTTAAATATTTTGTCTATTAAAATAAAAGGACCATATCAGGGACAATTGTGCAAGATTTGAGCACATTTTCAATATATTATGTTGTGTTTCTGCCAAAAATTGTATGCCTGTGGGGTTTGGACTACATTGAATCAACTCAGCTCCTGAAGGGCTAGGGACTGAGACATATGGGTCCTTACCAAGTCTGTCTGACCCAGCCCTGGCAAAAACAGAACAAAACAAACTCTGAATGAGAATCACCCACATGCATTGTCAAACAGACTGGCTGGAAGAAGTGAGTACTGTGTGTGACTACACTGGCAGAAAAAAGTGGACAATCTGACCAAGCAACTCTCCCTGACTGTGCTCCATGTGCCTCTTTCCTTGGCTGATTTTTTGTTGTTGTTGTTTTTTTACAGTAAAAAGCCACAACCATGAGTATAACACCTTCCAGTGATTTCTGAAATGTCTTCTCGAAAACAGGCCTCTAGGAATCCCTAACTTGTCACTGGTGTCAGAAGTGAGAACAGTTTGGGGGACTCTCAAAGTTTGCACTTTGGGACCCTTATTTTCCTCTGCTGATACAGATTCTTGGATGAACAAATTTGAGAAACACTTATTTAGACCCATTTCCTCTAAACTATTATAATCCAGCAACATTTATTGATCATTTAAACTGCAGAGAGGCACTGAAATAAGTAGCAGGAATATAAACACACAGTCCAACTTCTCCCATCAAGAAGCTCACAGTAGCCGGGCATGGTGGCACACACCTGTAATCCCAGCACTCAGGAGGCTAAGGCAGGAGGATCGCTGTGAGTTCGAGACCAGCCTGGGCTACATAGTGAGTTCCAGGTCAGTGTCAACTACATAGTGAGACCCTGTCTCAAAAAACCAAAAAAAACAAAAGAAGCTCACAGACACTGCCCTATAGGACTTAGGAAAGAGGAATGAACAAGATGGACCTATGTGCTGTGATCAAAATATACGGTGAATATTTAAATACATGTATCACAGTAAAAGACACATTGACATTAATCCCCTCAACCTACTCCCCCTCACTTCAAACACGCTTATCCCATTGCTCCTGCCAATTTCTGAAGCAGTTCTGGAAGTCTCCTTTCATGTCTTTGCAATATGTGATCCAAAATCCAGTTAATGCTGCTCCCCAGTGCCATCCAACAAAAAGCAAGCTCATAAAAACATTACAATGTGTCCTCACCAACCTTGTTCAACAGATCTAGTACCATGAAACTTCTTGCTCTTCCCCAAGATCAAAATGACAATGAAAGGTAAATATTTTGAATGGATTCAGGACATCACGTCAGCCATGACAGCCAAGACACTCACAAAAGAGGACTTTCAGAACTATTTCAGAAAGTGCCAAGAACCATGGAATAATTGTATGAACGGGGGCGGGGGAGCTGGACATTGTGAGGGAGAGTATTGACAGCGTGTCTTTTACTGTAATAAAAATCTAAACATTCATTGTATTTTTCCCTCATACCCAATGCCTTTGAAGCCTACCCCAAGTTATAAATGAGTAGGTGGCCAGGAACCCTTAAACATTTACACTGACACCAACTTCATTTCGGTATCCTTCCCTTTTAGTCAAAGACAGGGTCAATTATTTCTAGTTTTCCTGATGACTAGGCACGACTAAGTCATGAGAAGGAACACAAATGCAGAGACAAGCTGTCTGGAAAGACAAGGTTGGTTCCACTAAGTGGAACACTAAAATCCCATCAAGATGTCTGTGCGGAAAGTTTAAGAACCAGTGGGTGTTGGGTCTATAATTTGGGGGAACCTTCAGGAAGCACAGCACAAGAAAGTTGATGACAAGCACAAAGGAATGGACTCACATGCGACTTTGTCAGTTTCTGCTCTAGAGTCTCGAATCATGACTTCTATTTTGCTCATCATCTCTCTGGCTAGCTGGGAAATTATTTCTGATTTGAATTTTTCTAGAGCCTGATTGATCAATTTTGTTACCTCCTGTGCTATGGGTCCAGGGAGTCCTGTTGGTTCACTATCAGACTTTTCATCCTCATTTGTCCTACTATTTGCTATTGGTGAACTGGATATCTGTTTTTGTGTCTTGCTTAAGTGTTTTCTCATTTTTATTTTTATTGTTGGGTTGTCCTTCTTT